ACGACTGAAAAGTAACTCAGCCCAACTCAGACAACTTACTAGGGTTATATTCGTAAAAATGTCTTCTGTTTTTTTGTTTGGTCACAGAGGACTATATTGTAATTTCATAGCCCTTTTAGGTTAGATTTGCATTTGATTCAAGTTGGGGTCTAGTATTGGGGTTAAAACCAAGTTGTGGGTTAGTTTTGGCAAAAACCCTTCTTTTTATTTGTTTTTAGAAATGATAGAACAAAAGTATTTCTCATCAAATTTGAAAAAGAATAATAGGTATTTTATACCTTTTCTTTCACCAAAAAAAATTACCTTTTCAATCATGTTATTTTGCTTCTATTCATTCTTTCTTTTTTTCTTTTTTTTTGAACAACTATTCATTCTTTTTTTTTTAGTTCTTATTTTTCCTCTAATGGTCACCATTCAAGTTATATAACCTTACCTTAGGCTCAAGTTGATCAAAAGTGTTGCAAAGAATGCAATCAGCTCGCCGCAAGTTAGAGAACTGACTAACCACAACTTTGAATATCAGAGGGTAAGACCCCTTCTCGCAAGCGAAAGAAGGCAGATCATTTTGGCTTAACAATGGAAAACCTGGAAACGATGCAAGTATCGGGTCCTCGTGCCTGTCATCAGGAACATCGTAGGTGCCTTCGTTGATGTGGTAGTAAATAAGACTAGCCAACCATGGCTGAGTAAAATAGGCCACTACGCATAGACCCAAGTCCTTGGCTACGTCCAGTGCAAAAGGCATGAATGGATCATAGATCAGAGCTTTTGGAGGATTACCCGTTAGCTTCTGTCTGCACAAATTTGCATGTAACAACCATAGAAACGCTGACAAATGGTTTTAATTTATAGAACATCTTTTTCAATGAGTGTGTCCAGCCATGATTGCCTTGTGATGAATTATTTAATCTCTGAGTTGGTGTGTTATCATTTAAATATCAGCTGTTTACATTCTTTTTTCTTTCTTTGTTTTTTTTGGCACAACAGCTGTTTACATTCTTGGATTGAAATTAACGTTCCAGACTAAAAAAATATTCTTCATTTAACAACTCGGTAAGTTTATAACTATTATAAGATGTTGGTTTTTATATATTACTTGGACTAGTATAAATAGTTGAATGATTGAATAAAAGAAACATATTGGCTCTAACTGGTAAAATAATATAATAAATGGTGGAGTAAAATTAAAATGAATGAAATACAGTAAAATATGGTATATATTCATTTCCTTCATTCATGAACAAATTTATTATGACATACGTTTTTTTATATTTTATCTATTTATTTGTGGAACTAATGGAATGAATATTCTATTCATTTCCATTCATATCAATTGGTAAGAAAATCTTTGGAATTAATATTATTAGCCATTCCACATTATTTTATTTTACAAAAAAAAATTGCAATCTAGTTGTTTCCATTAGATAATAAGTGAAAAATAGTTTTAGTATAATAATATTTTTTAATTAAGTTTATATTTACAAGAAATTCACAACACATTAACGAAATTACTTGAAAACGTTAAAAAATAAAATCTTTGAATGATGAAAAACAGAGTTTTGTGAGAAGATGATTATTTGTTGAAGGGGGAGAAGATGAAGAGAACAAAGGACTAATATATTTTACTTCTTTTGTATGGGGCATGCTTTTTCATGTTATTATTAGTTTTAAGGGACTTCAACGAAGCTGTAGACCAGTGTAAAAAAAGAGTCAGCAAACTTTCAAATTCTGCCATGAAGAAACAACTTGTACCTAGAGATGAAATCAGCGAGGCTGCGCGCAGTAGATTCGTTAAAACGTGGAGGGTCTTTGATCTTAGCGTGAGGGTGTTCGTGTGGAAAGAAACCGTCGTTAATGGTGTGGACGGTGATGGAGTAGTCCTCGGAAGTGTAAGGTTCACGGTGGATGTTGGAGGCAATGATGAGTGAGACGGTGAGACCCTTTTTGGATAAGCGTTTGCCGAGCTGGATCATTGGATTAATGTGGCCTTGTAACGGATATGGGAAAAACAGTACGTGACTGTTTGGTTCACCCATGTCTTTTTGTGTAGAGTTGAAGAAACAGCAAGTGGGTGATTATATGTTCTTATTCTTCTACTATCCCATTACTGGGTATGTATTTATATGAAGATAGGTCTCATTATTTACAATGTTTGGTAAATGTTTGGTCAAAAAATGGTTGTAAACTCATAAAAGTTATTGTAATTTCCAAAGTATAAGTTACTTCTTTTTATTTTATTTTTTATTTTTGGTTTTAAATGGGTCGAGTGTACATTTTGAAGGAATCTTTCTTTACATACTGGTTTTTGTTTTGGTAAATGTTTTACTGCATTGTTGGAATGTTTTACTCTTTTTCTTGAAGGTTGATTTCTCTGAAATGTTTTTGGCTAAAAACTTAAACTCAATTTGGTATGACGTTTCAGAGCAACATATTCAAGCTTCACTAAGATTGTAAAAAAGATTATCACCAACCATGTAATAAAAACGTGGTGAAGGAAATTAGGTGGGTGGGTACCAAAAATACTTTTATTTTCATCAGTTTCTGTCTTTTTTTTTGTGTGTGTCTTGTATTTTCTTGTTATTAATATGTAGGGGTTACAAAGGACTTCGAAAAAGTTGTGGATCAGAAGGCTGTGGACAAACAAGAAGAAGAAGATATCTAATGTTTAGTTTTATGCTTTATGGATAGAACTGTTCTTGTGTAAACCTAAAAGATTATTGTTTTTCAATGTTTTCATTTCTAGCCGCGAGTTTATTTGTTTTGTACATCGGAATGACCGTTCTCCAAAGCTTTGACTAGATTTTCGAACTAGATTTTGGTTATTTAGTCAAATCTTTTGCACGACCAGACTAAAGTAAAAAGACAAGTAATGGGTTTTTAGGTTATCTGGGTTCCAATACAACTGCTCTTTGCTTGACGAGATGACGAAATTTTCTAGGCAGATAAACTTTCCAAGGTAAAAAGAGGTTTGATTCTAGTATTCTCTAAATTCTCACCTTAGGGAAATATAGTTTTTGTTTTGTTAAATACAGCACTCCGTCCGTTTCATAAAGATGTCACTTTGACATTTATCACATAAATTAAAAAAGTTTTTGATTGCATTAAATTCTTATTAATTATACATATTCAACCAATGAGATTTTTAGAAACTAAAATTATTTATAGAATCAATGCATTTGCAATTAATATTTAGCTCAAAATTGCATTGGAACACTTTTTGTGTAACAAAAAAAAATGCTAAAATGACACTTATTTAAAAACAGAGGGAGTAACTTCCAAATTATTTTTCCGAACATATAGATTTAAGGTCCAAACCCCAAAGGTCAAATAACAATGCAATTTCCTTTATGCTAATGAATAATTAGAAAATAAGGTTAATTTAAAATTGTTACAAACTCTAGTCATTGTCAGGAAACACAAAATTTGAGATTATCTTCTAGTTTTCTGCAGTTTTTAACAACTGAAACAGAGAAGTCTCGGGTAGTCAGATACCAGTTGGATCTTCCTCTTACCATTATCACCAACTTTTGTATTTTGATGGCAGACTTGAAGTTTGCTTTTCTATTTGCACTCATTAACAGCTACATCAGCAAGATTGTTTTCTAGAGTTTTAGTAGGTTTTGGTTACTTTAGTCAAACAGATAATTTTTGCTGAATTCATTAAAAAATTTAGATGGATCATCAAACCAACAAAGTGTTTCAGCTCCTCATCTGCACAATGATGCAGCCTCTACAAACCAACTTCAGCCTCTCCTTGCATATACTCAAACCTGCTTCTTGGCTCGTTCCTTTCGAGGAATTTAGTATAGTATCCATATGCATATGTCCATTTTAACACCCTCCTAACACTCGATGATTTGCATTCAAAAATTTATCTGCTAAAGAAAAATGTTGAATACATGTGTGCACGTACATGAAGCCATGCCTCTACGGTGAATTGAAGCGATAATACAATGGCGTAAGAAGAGAATAAAACCAATACCGAACAAACAAACAATAACGCATGAACTTAACTTTGTTGGTTCTGTCTTTTATTCAATCCTTAAGTTCTTTTGTCACTAGTGTTCAAAAGAAAAAAGTTCTCTTGTCACTAATCACACAAATAAAGTCTTTCTAATTCAACGAATAGGGGACTTAGAGCATCTCCAATGGTGTTATTCACCATTGGAGTTCTTAGAAATATAATAATTGTTTTTTTTAATAGTTAAGGACTCTAATCACAAATGTACTTCCTATAATGTTATCTATTATAGAATTCTTAGGAGAAAAAATATTAAATTTTAAAACATGTGAAATTAAAATTTTTATGAGAAAATGACTTAGAAAAACCTAAAAAATGTTTTTTGTCACAAATATAGCCTATAAAGAAAAAAAATGATTAAAATAGACTTTATTAAAGAGTAAAAATACATTTATACTTTTTGGATTAACTAATCTAGAATTAAAGTTTCGAGTTATGGGGTTTAGGGGTTAAAGTTCAGGTTTTACGGTTCAATTTTTTTTTTTAAGTTAAAAATTTCAACAATCGAACATTGCACATCATTAAAGATCAAATCCTTAAAATGTTTTAATTAATGACTGATTCTTAACTTAAGCAAATTAAATAATATTATTTAAATCTAATTATCTAAAATTACGTGCTAAGAATTTGTTTAAATCTCTCAATTGTGTGCTAAGAATTTGTTTCTCGATTGTGTGCTAAGAATTTGTTTAAATCTCCCGATTATGGATGCTCTTATGTTTCACCTGGGAAACCAACGAGCTTGGCACTAACCAATCAAATGTCGATTTAAACCAGAACCAAAAGTTGACGATTAAAAGTTTAACAACTCAAACCAAGTAAAAATTCTGAATTCTTAGCTGAAGATTTATACCGACCCAGCTGAAACCATAATTTATGTTATAGTCCAATCATTCGGAATGATCAGCATTAGAGTCTCTTTAAACGAATCAGAACACCTTTAACTAAATGTTGTTGGGCCCACTCAGAAAGCAGGACCCTCCAAAAATAGGCGTATGCCACTTAGCGTGGAGAGCACACGGTATTCTTTAGTAAAAGGCGAAAGAATAGTTCGCTTTGTGCTCACCACATGGCTGCGTGGTTTTCGTAGGTCAGAGAGAGCATATATTTATAGTGTGACTTCTCCTGCGGAGTTACTACCTGTTATCCGATGTGGGACACTCAAAACCAAAGACTAAAAATGGCGCTACTTCTAAAGCTAACTCGTGGGCTTTAATGGCCCGAAATAATTTTGGGCTTTGACTAGAAATTGATGTCTTTAAAAAGGTTAAAAATATATTTTGTTTGTGCATGTTACATATTGACATTACCAAGTCTTTCACTTCGAAAACAAAACAGAAAAAATAGAAGAAACAAAAAGTTAGAGAACAAGACAAAATTTATAAGAAACATTTTCAACCCGTGTCATGAGTAGTTGGTGTAGTGTTTAAAAATATTTTCATGTATAATTAAATTAATGTTATAGAATTTATAAATCATTTTAAATGTTTGAATGATAATGATGCTTTAATCTGTTTGGATTGTTGACAAAAAAAATATATGTTTGGACTAGGTGGAGAAATCATCTGAGTTCTTTTCTCAGTTATAATTATAATTTCATTTTTATTCATATCAAAAACAACAACAAAGCACATTAAATTTAAAGATCCTGGTTTCCTTCAGTAAAAGTACTTTCAAAGAAACATTATTAAGCATCACATATTGATACACATAATTTACCTAGCAATTTTTGCAACAAACTCATCAATATTCTTATCAGAGTTTCCCCCTTCAGACAAAGCTTCTTTTGCAAACTCCATCAACCTCTCAACATTCTTTCTAATCTCTTTCCCTTTCTCTGACGCCTCCTCCATAACTTCTCCAACACACCTCACAATCTCTTCCTTCGTCACAAACCCATCTTTATCTGTCTTAACCCTAACCCCAACCTTCCACACATCCTCTATAAACTTAGCATTAGTCGGTTGGTCGCTATAAGCCGGCATTCCAATCAAAGCCACTCCTAAACTCAATGCCTCTAGAGTTGAATTCCACCCACAATGTGTCATGAAACAACCAGTTGACTTATGCGCAAGAACTTGTAGTTGAGGACTCCAGGTCACTATCAGTCCTTTCTCACCAATTTCCTCTATGTAATTGCTTGGGAGTTTATTTGTTTCCGTTTCTCTAACCACCCATAAGAAATTATGGCCGGTTTGTTTTAGTCCGGCCGCAACTTCAATCATCTGGTCATCTTTTAGAACTACTAAGCTTCCAAAGGAGACGTAGATCACTGAACCAGGCGGCTTTGAGTCAAGCCAATCAAGGCATTCGTTGACTTGAGCATTGAAGAGGCTGATTCCATAGTCTTTGTCTCCCGCTAGTCGTTTGTCTAAGTACATTGATGGAATCATCGGTCCTATGTTTTTGACCGGCCATTGGTTCTTCATCCACTCTAGCACCTACGAGGTATCATATCAGTAAATCCATGCAATAGAAGAAACGTTGGTGTAGCTTGATGGCACACACACAAGGTAGATTAATTTAATAATCAACCAAATCAATTGCGTCCATGCGTTGAGTTATATTTTAAGTTAAAATTGGGAATACATAACATTTTGATCTGAAGTTATATCTTCACAGCTAATAAAACATTATATATGCGACATCAACTATAGCCAGTAGACAGGAACACATGACAAATGGATCCCAGATGTGTAGTATATCGGCAGACACGTATATATAAGATCGTTTCTGGCTAATTGTATGCCACGATAGAACCCATACAAAATAATCTGCACCTTGGGATGTTCGCTCAAATCATTCGAAGATGGTTGTCCTTTTGTTGTTGGACAAATGATTTCTTTTTTTTTTTGCTACTATTTAATTATATTTTTATGACTTATCATTGAATTTAATCCACAACTCTACAACCATACGTGAGTAAATGAACATTCGAAAAATACCTAAACTAACAATTATATAACATCTACAACTTAAATATATATATATTGACATTGCTTTGTTATAATTTTATATGGCTAACATCACGTACTATCCACCATTATATGTACCACGTGAAATATA